GCCTCGGGGCGCAGGGCCAAGGCGGGCAGGTTTGAGGGTGCTCGGCGCCTTCCCTTGAGCTCCCCGTTGTTTCCCTGGGCGCCTTCCTGCCCCCGAAACGGTTCTGTCCGAGCGATGCCCAGAGCCGCGCCGGCCGTCGGGCTTAACGCAGGGCAAACCAGCGGTGCGCGGCTACCTGAGGGCAGATCCGTGTTTCACGGGACTGCGCACAGTGCTGGGGGGCGGTACAGATTGTGGACTCGGAAGTTGGAGCATTGCAGGGCCGAAAGAGTTGGGTTGAACTTACCGTGGTCTCTAAGAAGGGAGAGGAGAGGGGGAAAAAAAAAGAAAAGCAGAAGACTGCACTTGCTCTTCGGAGGAGAGCCACAGTTATTTCTTTGGACAGAGAATTAGTTCCTTCCATGGGATTTCTTTAAAAACTTCTCCCCTTCTACGTGGTTTGTTCTTGTTGTGATCTATGGAAATTGGAAACTTAAAAATTGAAGAAAAAATCTTAAAAAAAAACCCCAACAGTTAAACAAAACCTGTGATCACAATTTTTTGGGTAGTCCTGGTAGACTTTCCTGGGTGCTCCCCAACTTGCGGCTTCTGCTAGGTTGAAGGGAAATACGTGCAATGGCAGTAGGGGCAAAGCCTACAAGTAGCCAGGACTGCCTTTAGCGTGTGCCAGATGCACAGATGAGTGTGACCTACTGAATCATTAGCGCCACATCCAGCGACACCTAGAAAAGAAGCAGCAAGCTTCTTCACTACGATGATGGACAACACTTTCAAAGTAATGAAACGTGCACAATGTAGGGAACGAAACGAGGAAATTCGATAAGCCGTACCAGGGTTTTTCAAAGAAGAACATGTGCGAGCCATCAAAGGAAGGAAGGAAGGAAAAGAGCGAGCTGCAGATGCTCTGCTGGAATTGAAAATAAAGGTTTAGACAAAGTGGTGAAAATAAAATGCACGGTCACCAGATCACGGTCCATCACATTTTGCTACATCATTCGGGGATATAACTCCAAGAGCCAATCATAGCTTTAGACTGACAAAAAATGGAAAACATCAGCAAGGAAAATATGTTCTCCTTTGTTAAATAATTGCTTAAAAAAAACCCAAAGGTTAACAGGTGAGGCATGGTCTACGTTAAGTCAAACATTCTTTTCCTAGTTAGACTTTGGTGGGTATAGCATTATGTGATGTGTTTTCTGTTACAAACGTTTTTGGACAAAAGCTTCAGTGCGTGTTGAGAGCCCTGAAGAATTCTTTATTTGGCTTCCTCTCCCTTAAGAGTCAAGCACTGTTTGACTGAAGGACATCATATTGTGAAATCAAAATGCAACTTAACCTAATTAAAAACATTTTGAAAATTGTCCTTTATTTTACCAATTAAAAAAATAAAATGTGCATAAACTTCCTAGTCTTCTTGGATGCTTTGAAGAACTGTCTAGTTTGGCTAGGAACAGAACGGCTGAACTCTTGCTCTTGAGAAGCTCTGGCTGGGAACCAGGTTCCTATGGTCCTAGAAAACTTTACTTTTCTGACATCCTCCCAGCCTAAAGCAAATCAGCCTTTACTACTGAAGAATCACAGTCCCTTTGACTTGATGGTAGAATGAAGAACCCTCCAAATCCAAGTGGCAAGATCCTTGCTTGATAATGAAGTGGAAGGAAACAAGGCATCTTGCCTCTGAGGCTGATCTGCAATTAGCATCTTTAAATGCTGTGATCACCTGGCCACTTCAGCTTTAATTTCACCGTCTCTTTGAGATAGCTACCTGGCTACCTGGCAAATTTTGTCTTTTCCAAGCAAGTTGCTATAAAGCTAACACAGGAATTTACCAAAGTCAACAGAAACAGAGGCTTCTTTCCAATGTGTTTGCTCTCTGACGTTGTTACGGCATTGATGAAATTTATTATGCTTGCAGGAGCCGATCATGTATCTTTTAGCAACTTAAAAGAGCAAGAAGTTTAAGATTCAAATTAAAAATCCAAATTTAAAAATTTCCTTTTTAAATGAATGCTTGCATATCACAGGAAATCATTCATAAAGCTCAATTTTTAAGAGAAATGCTTTAACTACTACTGAAGTAAAACTCAGCTGTAACTTCTAGGAGCAGGCTTACAAAGAACTGGCTTCATTTAGGATTGAAAAATATATTAAAAAAAATTGAAAAACATCTTTAAAAGAAATTAAGTCAGTATTTCAGTCTGCAAATCCAACAACTAACTCAGATTTGAGAGGCTGACTTGGGTTTCTCAGGTTGAATTTGTTCAGCCTTATTTTTATTGGATTGAATGAGTTCAACCAAGTAAAAGACTTGCAAAAGCAACAACTTAGACTAGAGAGTTGGTGGATTTGCTGTAATACCTACCTACCTACCTACCTACATATATGTATGGCAAGAGACTCATCCTCAAGATCAGGTCTATGTGGGAAAGTTTTGATGGCAAAGTTCTCCCCTCCACTCACCTCATAGTTCAGTGTCAATCCCACTTTTACCAGTGTAGTTGCACCTATTTTCTAGATACAGGATTCCTACTGTGTATCACGGAATGATAAACTACTGAAGAGGGGGGGGGAAAGGTCTAATAAATTTGCCTGGAAAGAAAAGTTATTTATATTAGCCAGACATACCTTTAAAACCGATAAAACTTTTTATCATGTAAGATGAGACCCTTTGGTCTCAGCAAGAGAGAATACCAAATAAATCATACTATAGTTGCAGAAATTTAAACCCTTTCCCTCCTACTCCTCACTTGCATCTTCCCTCCTCCCCTTCACACACACACACACACACACACACACACACACGCACACACACACACACGCAGTAGTCCTCAGGCTGCTGGTAGACAAAGTATAGCAGGTTTTCCCTCCGATAATTTAATTTCCAAGTATGTGGAGAAAATCGCTATGGTAGCCAAAGTAGATATGTGCTGCAAATTATACCTTTTCCCCTTTATTTCCTTTATATAGACTTCGAAACACGGGAAACTTGATGAGCAACTAAATTTGCACATATGTGGTATTCATTTACATCTTGGGAATTTTTCCTTTATAGCAGATTCAGAAACATTTGAGACACATGTGCTGTCTGTGTATTGTACTTAGTACTGTTTCCCCAGGGGAAACAAATAATAATATAAAAAAAAAGAACCTGGCAGGGAAAAACCTCACTGTGACAAATCTCAGGGAAAAAAAAAAGACATGACCTCCTAACTTCACTTATTAGTAGCTTTCAAAGAAGATAGGGAAGCTCTAGTCTTTCAGATATTTAGTGCTGAGTTAGGAGAGGAAAACTTTGTAAAATATTGATCCATTTTTTAAGTTAAATTCATTTCCATGAGAGAGGAAAAATATCATGTAGATAATTATGTGATTTTTCTTCCAGTAATGTTGGATTAATCAGCAAATATTACAGGCTATATTAAAGTTACACAATGACCATATGTCTCAAATTCTATTTCAGTTTTCCATGATATTTACATGATTTTATTTAGTATTTTTTTATTGTCACTTGTTGTTCATTCACTTTTAATGTATAAAGTGTTCTTTACTTTTTTTGCTGTAACTACAGTCATGTCACTTGTAGTTCAGATGCGTTTACTAGTTCTTATGCATGGGTTGTATAAAAAGAAAATTAAGCACTGATCTGTTCTGAGCTGATATTGAAGATGAAGTATGTACATAACTTGGTAGAATGATTTGCAGTATATTAGTGCTGTCTCAGCTGTGACAGTCTAAGGAAATAAATGAGGCTGCCTTAATAGGGGTATTTATCAAGTCAACTTCTAGCACGATGATGAACATAAAAAGCAACGACAACCAATAGACTTCTAGGTGCGTTTAAACTCATACACTAACACATCTACTTTCATAAAACCAGCAACCATCTAAAACAACCTCACACAAAACTTTGGTTACGTTAGGCATAGCTGCACTTGCAATGCTTAACCTGAAACAAATAAGGACACCAAAAGAGGACAATTCACGGGGGAAATATTGTCTGAGTGGCTCAAAACTGCAAAGACTCAAAAACCCCAAAACAAAACAAAAAAACCCCACTCAACCAAACAACAACAATAAAAAAACCCTGCACACAGAGTTAATGCAAAATGAAGCGATAACCCACATGACCATACCCGCATGGTTATTACATACGACTCTATGTTGAAAATTCCATGGGAATTCATTAAGTACACACTGGAAGTTCAAATTGGAAGAAGATTTGCATATCAAATAAACCCCATTTCCCCACAGCCTCATGGGACTCCTGAGGGCCAGTCTTCCAGGAAGCCACATAACAAATGGAACCAGACTGCACCAGAACAAGAGAGAAAAATTTTAGCAGCAGATCTTCGCAACTATCACAGTAGGTACCTCCCGCAACTGAATAATCAAAATATAGGAACTCTATATGTGCACTTACCAGAATGTGTCCATTTCATGCATCCTATGTCTTTGTGGGAACAGCATGGGTTAAGCAAAACAACCAGCGCTTACCAGTATTGAGCCAGAGGGACAGTCAATGAGGGATGGAGACACCTGCTTAATACTAGTGTAGTAGCATATTTTTCACTAACTTTTCTTCTCCTTTTTTTTTTTTTAAGTCGATAGCACAATTCAGTTAAATTAAGATGAATGGTTCTTAGCTTATGTGTTTTTAGTTCTGTTCTTAGGTATGTTATTTCTGCTTCAGTATTAAAAAAGCTTAAATTTTGCTTTGTTTTTGCCCTTCCTCCCAACATCCATTCTTATTCTCCTCCCCCTTCTCCATCTCCATTAGATCAGTAGATACAATAACAGGTATTAATTCCCCTATAAATATTGTACTTACTGTAACTGAAGAGTCTTGTGTGCATAAATGCCTAAATGAAGACTGCTGAGGTTTTCCCATGCTTTTTGTGCCAGGCCCAACTAGAGTACCAGACATAACTGTTTCATGTAATGAAACTCAATGATCTACAGTCTGAAAATGTGTCTTTTCAGTCTGTTTTGGTTTAACAAACAGCACTATTGGAATAGTCAACCTGAGCGATCTTCCATAGTCTGGAGCCAAAATGTAGCAGACAAACAATATGTATTTTTAATCTACAGTTAATATACAATATAAGAATTATATTGTAAACCTTGATATGAATTAAGAGACCCATTAACTTACAGAAGTTCTCAACATCAACAGGTTATTTTATTTAAAACTTGGACAAGAAACACATCTAGCATTTAGGCTACAGTGCAAGAAACTTGGTTGTTTAATGGCAACTTTTGCCCCGTCTCCCCCCCCTTCCCAAAAAACCAGCTCATAGTATCTTAGTAGTCACTATGGTTGCAGCATTTTAATTATAGGTGATTCTTCCATCCCTTTCTGTGGGTCACTTTCGACATTTAAACACTTTAGATGTTTCTGTATAGTGTATATTTTTAAAATAAAAATTCACCCGGACATCTCACAGGTAAGTGAATAGCACTGGAATATATTTTCTTACAGTCTTCCTTAGCTGAGCACACGTCTCATGAAACGGAGCAGATTAATTTACTCTTTTGTCATATTTTCCACACCCTACATAGATGATAACAAAACAATCTACAGTGTTGTAAACAAATGTGGAAGTGTTTCATTTAAGTGTTTCGTTAAGGAAGGCATATTCCTCTCTAAGCAAAATGAGAATTTCACTTTAATTTAATGTAGAAGTTTTGTTTTAAGTCTCCTTTACACTGATAAAGAGTTATATAATTAAAATCAGGTGACTATCGGGGAGGATAAATAATACCCCACAGAAATTAATATTGAAAAACATAGGAAAGTGCCTCACACAGTTCTAGCTAGACTTTTTAATGAACCAAGTGCATCTGAAGTAAGCAGTATAGCCTCCCAGCATTTACACTTCTCTTGGTAAATTTTTAGATGTAGGAGTTTTGACCAAGTAATAATCCCATGCTTTCTCTTAGTAAGCAAAGTTGTAGCTGATGCAAAAATACTGCAGAAACAAAGTGGACTGAAAAATACGCAGGCAATTTTTGATTCAGAATGGATTTGTTTTCATTAGGAAAACAAAACAAATGAGAAGTTCCTACTGTTAGGAGATGTTTACAGTTAACCTCCCAAAAGCTTGCCATGCAGTGATGTCTAACTGCTTGTAGAAATTGTCAGTCTTTGTAACAGGATTGTATGTGAACACCTCAGGATTTGAGATGCAGTTACTGTATATTGTAACAAGATCAAGGACGGCAATCCTTGAAGTTTTTCTGCTTGTGGCTCTGAAGAGCTTAGAAGAATCTTTTCCATCAGGTAGGTGGAATTTATTTTTTTTTTTAGACAAGTAACATAGAATGCCAATTAGCAACTTCAGCATGTGCCCTAATTGGAAGGAGGGAGCAGTGAGCGTAGCTGGAGATACCAAATGGGGATTTGGGGTTGTGGCTGCATGTCCCTCAGTAGTATTAAGCTTTTGCTACCTCCTTCTTTGCAGCTTATTCTCTCCTTCTCACTCCCTCATGCTGTTGCATTGGCACAGCTGTTTCTGAATAACATCCACGCTGCAGCAAATTACGTACAGACATGCGCACACACACACACACACACACACACACGCGCACACACACACACACACACACGCGCGCGCACACACACACACACACACACACACACACGGAGTAGGAGGGTTAGGGACAGCAACTCTGTGAACTGGCGCTACTTGACAAATGACACTCTTAGTTTAGCTAGATGTAGAGAATTGTAATGGAAAGGTTCAGAATGGTATTAACAGGAATGTCTGGGTGTGGAAGCACCAGGGGAACCAAAAGCAGCAGAAGAGATGTAGGAATGGCATGTGTTGACACCTAGGTTAGCAGGTCATCAAGATCCCAGCACATCTGAATGCATCTCCTCAGGACAGCCAGATGGGGAGAAAAAGGACAATCAGTAAATCCTGGTGATTTGCAGCAGTGGGATGGGATTGAGGAACTAATCACTATCAGCTCCCAAAAGGATCCAGGAGATGTGTTGAGGACTTGATACCTGAGCTGTTCCTTGTCTTCTCTGTCACCATGAGGAAGCCTGCAGAAACATGTGGTTGCCTGCTTCTTGCTGCCTCGTGCCGGATAGGTTGCGTGCATGTAGGCTTGTGTGCCTGTGAGGGTATGCATGTGACTGTGTGAGTGAAATCAGTTCTGCTTTAAAATTAAACCACTTTCCCTTCCTGTAAGGTCTCACTTTGAGCTTTGCTACTCGTGTTGCAATGTTATTTCCTACATGGAGAGCTATTTTGCAAAAGGAATGTAGAAAACTGAAAGAAGTTGAGAGGAAACTTGAGGCTATAGGTAATTAAACTGAGGCCTCTTCTATGAGGATATCTCTCATTTTGCTTGACAGGAATAGAGCTCTCTTAAGTCTCCTCCGTTAACTCAGAATTGCTGTGTAATGTGCTGTTGAAACATAAATGCATGTTCTAGCATGATAATTAGTATAACTTGCCTAACTAACAACAGTATTAAAAGCGGGTGCTGACTGAGCACAAAAGGGATGTTGTGGTTACAGCCTCTCATTTCACCACAGACAGAGGCAGATCACATAATCTAGACACAAGATAGCTAGACACTTTAGATAAGGCCTGTGATGAGTTCTCAGACCCTTTATGTTTATACCTATGTATACCTCTTGCAACATAACTATCTCCTTGAAAATTAGATTTAGCCAATCTAAATGTAAAATATGTGGAAACAACTATATTTTCAAGAGACGCTTTTGGCAGCTGAGGTATGTTCAATAATATGACTTACAAGGCACCTATTCTTTCTCTTCTCAGGTGTTATCAGTTTGCCTTCTGTACATGTATTGTCTTAATTACATGCTACCTAAGCTTGTGCTTTACTTTCCAATAAGCAGTTTTCTTCAAGGCAGAAGGGCATGCTGTAGCTTTTACCAGCCAGACACTTCTCAGAGGAACACAGCGAAAGGACAAGAAGCGGCAGTCATAAATTGCAGCAACGGAAATTCTGACTGGACTTAAAAGAACAACTCACTCCCAGTGTGAAGGGTCAAGCCTTGGAACAAGCTGCCCAGAGAAAGTGTGGAATTTCCATTTTTGGAGAGTTTCAAAACTCAGCTGGATAAGGCCCTGAGCAACCTCATCTAACTTTGAAGATAGCCTTGCTTTGAGCAGGTATTTGACCTCCAGAGGTTCCTTCCAACCTATTTTTCTTCTGTGATCCTATTAAGGAAATCCCAATTCTTTAGTGTCTTCATCCTGTTTCTGCGCTAAGGATCCCTTCTTGTGGAAGCAACTCTGAGCTTTTCTAAACAGCTATTGGAAAAAGCTCGTATAAATGCATGAGACTGAAATACCATTTCATTATAAATCAAGACGTATCAGGGAAAGTTCCCCCTATCTTTTTGTAGTGAAGATCAAGCAGAGATAATTTAACAATCAGAAAAGAGACAGGAAAGCTGTTACGTACATTGTATCTGGCTAACGTATCTACCAAATATCGTGTCAAGAGACAATTCAGAGGATTAAACTGGACTCTTCTTGTGAATACAATAAGGATGCAACATGCATTTCCCTCTGTAGGCTACAGTTCCACTCGTTTGCACCTTTCGAGGCAAGCTTTCACTCCTGCAGGCCCTGGCAGCATGCAAGAATGTGTATCCCACTATGGGCAACATCATTAGTTGATGCAAAATAGTAAGTCCTCCCTTGTACTCCGCAACTGCACCGCTCTTGTTTTTCTTCTTCTTCAGACATGAGTGTGGGGACCAGCCCCGCTCTTTTGTCCTCAGTTGCATAAAACTGAAGGCATAGGTTCGACTGATAACAAAGCATGAGATACAACAGAGGAAAATAAGAACCAGTGAAATTAATTATGTAGACATTTTCAAAATGCTGTGCTAATGCAATTCATTTGCAGATGTTAAAAATAACTAATTGTTTTGTTACTGGTAGCATATTATTTTAAAGTCACAAAACAAGCTTGTTGAAGAAGAAATATCTAAACAGATGAGATTGCAGTTATTTGTGAATTTCATCCAGAATCTGTTATTAACATTTATATATAAAGAATAATATTCTCCCCAACTCTTTGACTTGAAATCGTAAGCCCGTGATAAATAGCATTTAAATGCTAAATTTACCAAGCCAGACAAGACTGATGCAAGCCTGAATCATTTCAGATTTTCGCCACATCTATATTTCCAGCAGTACAGGATAGTTTACATTTTTATGGTGCTAATGTATTGCTTAAGATTCAATGAAAGAGATGTGAATTGTCCATACATCCCTAAAGAGAAAGAAGCAGAAAACAACTTGGCATTTGACATTTAGATCTGCATTTGTTTCATTTTTAATAGTTTTAGTTATCAGGGTTCAGTTGTTAGCATGGGATGGAAGAAAGAGACAAAACTGAAACAATCTTATTTAAAACAGAGAATGGAAATCACTTGCACGATTTGAAAACTTTTCTTTGTCATGCTCCGTATAATATGATGTACCTACTATCTGAGAGGAAAAAAAGGACATACGCTGGTAGTAAAATTATGTAATAATGTCACTGAGTATCAACCTGAAAATAAACGCTCTCTACATATGGAGAGACACACACATACACACGGGGTTAGTGGATAAAAAGACTTGTCGGCATCAAATAAGGAGCTATGTCTGATACTGGAAATGAATATGACATAAATAACTCCAGTGAATAGATTTGTAGGCCTCTGAGCAGATCTGGACAGGGAGTCTTAAAAGCATTTCACTGGGTCCAGACGACATCTCCACTGAATCCTCGGTATCCCTCTGCATGCCCTGGCTTCTTTAGCAAGGTGATCTGTGCAGAGGCAGGGAGGGAGCCAGGTACGTTCCTGTAGCTCTTATGGTCTGGATGACTGGTGAACCAGAACTATGGACACCCTACAAAATACATCTGCCCTGTGCTTTGAAGACAAACCTTGGAAACATTTATGATGGACAAATATCCTGCCTTCCTCATCTTCTCAAGTGGCTTGTCTAGGAGTCACTCCTCTTCTAAATGCAGTGTAGAGGTGGCTAGCAGGGCTTTATGCTCCAGGGATCCTTAAATGAAAAAATAACCTCTTCTGAGATGTGACTATCACTACACGCTTCCAGCAACCCTGAGGCTCAGAGTTACTGATTTTTATCTTGCGAAATGCATCGCAGCCTGAGAACAGGGAAGTCCCCAAACCAGCCTGTGACCATCTTTCATCTACTTTCTCCAGTGTTCCACGTATAAAGAATCAGTTTCAAGAATGAGTATGAGTTCCTTGGAGTGGCAACTTAATGGGTCCTTAACAGTTCTCAGGTGGAGAGTGACAGGTCTCTCTCTCCTTCTCTCTCTTTTATCAAGGGAAAAAACATTTAAGGAAGTAACCTTGACTGTTAGATATTATTAGATGTTTTAAAGTTTGATTTTTTTTTTCAAGTAACCTATAGATAGAACTAGGAAATGCTATCTCAGCTCACATGAAAGTGTCAGAAAGGGTGATATAAAAATAAGTACATCTTTGCTTCATATTTTTATAAACCTGATTATACTCTTCATTTCTTGTGGAAGAAGATCTTTAGATACTTAGGAAGCAAAAGGACACCAAGAACATCATCAGTGCATATCATGTTATATATTACTTTTCTGAAATCTCTAAAAACCTTGAATTGGCTGCAGAATAAAGAGGAATCATGAAAAACAGACTAACTATAAATACAGAAGAGACAAACAGCAATAATCAAAAATTACATATCGACAAACAGTAATAAAACCTCAGACCATTACAGTCATATGGCATACATTGATTTATTACTAGAGCCAATAATACATAGTTGCAAAACAATATATGTTATATGTGGGATGCGTAACTTCTTGTTCACAGCCTACCTGCTCAGCTGTGATCATAAAACAAAGAAGATTCCTGTAACTTGCATGATGGTAACCCCATACCCATCTTGTCGGGGCTCAGCTATTCTTTTTTGCAGGGGAGCAGGGAGGTTGCTTCCAACTTACAGTATTGTTAGCATTCAAATGAGTATGTTTAGATACTGTTACTATAGAGGAAACCAGGTAAAACTGCTTTCTTTTTACTTTTTTATGTCTTTCCTGACTAAATTCTGTATCTAAAATACCTTGTCTTTGATGATTGCTGTGCCAGTCATGCCTTTGTGTTACATGATCTTAAGACTTTTTTAGTGCTTTCTATCAACAGTAATCAAGGATCTGATTGAATCTATAATTGTTTGTGTTGCTGATTAAATAAGGAAAGTGAAAAAAAGGGGAGGAGACAACAGCACAATAGATGACCCATGTGCTTTAGCAAAATGATGTTGACAGATACAAAATGACTCTACTGCTTAATTCCCTCCCCCACAACTGCTGTTTCTTATAACATGGATAATGTTGTGAGGAACTGAGCACATGTCGTAAGAAACAATTAGAAGCTACGCATATCTATGTCTACTTGGAAAAATCATACACTTTTCTGTGTAAGAAAGGTGAGGTGGAGAAAACAATCAAAGAAGAATCTTATGGAAGAACAGTATTACAAATTACCATATCCTTGTCCATGAATAAATGGGTTTTCATATTAGTTTGCTATCCTTACAACCAAGGGTACTTCTGAAGGAAGTGATTTACGAGGTGAGGTGAAAGAAGGCATATTGTATATACAGTACTATACAATGAGAAGATGAAAAGAAAAACAGGAACCAACCAATATAAAGTGTATTATGAGGTGTCTGAAAAGTTTAAACAGGGAATTGACTGATCAGAAGCAAAAAGTGGATATCACAATCCTCCAGTCAACCCATCACCACATTTTAAAATTCTATAAAGCAAACAGATGAGTCTGAACCTATTTTCTGTTATGCAATCAGAGTACGTATGAATTAAAATATATAATATAGCTAACATCATTAAGTTAACACCACAGTATTAAATAGTTATTTTAATAAGGATACCAGTTTTGCAGAAAGCAGGTATGATAAAATAGTTTTGAATCATTTAATATTATGAAATATATTTGACAGTGTTAAAGGAGGGAGGAAGGTGGGAAATTGGTGGCAGAGGCTTGGGAAGAACAGACGTGAAAATAATAGCGGTCTGTACACTGCTTTTCAAGAGTGCCTACAGAATTATCCAATCTTCGAGTCGCAAATGGATTGACACTTACGATAAATATATTTATGCAATACCACAGTTAAAAGTGGCACTAAGAATGTAAGATACTATATATTTCAAAAAGAAGACATATCGTAGTGTGTTTTAAACATGGCTATTAAAATAGAATTCAGAAATGTCAAAGATAAGAGAGCCATAGGAAGATAAGAACTACCTGGCATGACAGGAGTGTATAGCGTGATTTTCAGCTTTTCCTAATTTTGCAGATAGCTAATATTTCACTAGATATCCCCCTTTTCTTCAGTTTAATCTCACTAGCTGAATATTTACATTTCTTCAGGCAATCTTACTTGAACAGCATGCTTCAGGACTAGCAGTGGGAGGAAGTATTCCCGCCTTGCAAACCTACTGTTCTCTTAGAAATGGAGAACTTGCCTCAGCACGGTGTGGGCTGCGAAACACAAAGACCCATCTTTCTATTGCACTTCAGTTCTGCCAGCCGTTTCAACCCAGCTGGCCAAAATCTAGCTCAATTCTGAAAACACACTTTTGAGTCATTTAATGTGTATATTTTGGTATCAACAGGACTATTCATGGCATAGTGTTTGCAGGATCAGGGACTGTAATTCTATCTGAACCAATACTATGTCCATGCTCCGTGAAACTCTTGTTGACTTTGGACGTTTTTCCTGAGAGCAAGATCAGGCACTGATTCCCCCCACCCCTAAGAACCAGTGCCTCTTTCTGCTTTTCTCCAGTAGTAAGTAGGTCTACATTAGGGAGTTTAAGGAGTCATTATGTAAGGGATAAAACTCCTCTTCAGTGCAAAGAAGTTTATTTTCTTGTTTGCAATGGGAGATGTTCTTCCACGATTCATGGCATATATAGGCATTATTTTTTTAAGGATTTGAAGTTAACACCTCAAATGTTTGTAACTTGCAACAACAGTGGAAAATGGCAGTTTTGTGGGTCTGGGAAATTTGGATCAAGAATGAAGGAAGTCCTGTCTGATTAGGAACAGCTGAAATTTTATTGCTCTGTTTCACATAAACATTTGTTACAAAGAGAACCTGAGAGAACCATATTCGCCTTGTGTGAAACAAAATAGTACTAAGTTGTCACAGCTGTAATATTTAAAGCCACAGTGTTTTTTGTCCACCTCACTCACACAATTGCAACACTATGGAAATCAACAATCACATGGATGCATTTGGATGGTTTCCAAGAAATGGCAGAACACACAATATCCCTGCTACTACTGTGGTAAAAAGATTCTGTGGATAAAAGTCCACCCCAGGCAGAGAGCAAGCATGCAGCACTTTAAATATCACTGCAGCTCAAAGAACAAACAGAAAGAAAAAGAACAGAAAGAAAAACAAGCAAAGAATTTCTCAAAAGTGAATCTAATAGAAAAGTTTTACGACAAAAGTTTTTTCACATAAGCGAGTTTGGGTTATTTCCCTTTGTCCTTATATTCTCTTAAAGTGCAAGCAATGAGGTGTTACTTGAGACTGAGGAAGCAAAGCAGGCAAGTTTGATTTCATTTTTCCAAGACATATGAAGAAGCAAATGAATAAAAATGACGTCGTTTTTTTAATCAACTGTTTTCCTTGCTTTTTAGGAGGGTAGAATTTTAAGGGAGTTAAGTATGACAACAAATAGCAAATTGCCTTTATAGTGACTGCAGCTCTTTAAGATACTTAGTGCTCATGTTGTCATTGAGGATATATGGCTGTTGCAAAGGAGTATGGAAAGGCTGCTTGTGCTTATTCTGCATCTTGCTGGTCGCTTGCATGTACCCTAATGGCATGCAGGTGGGAGGAACCACCTACCTTTAAGCCCTTTCTCTGCCTGGAATCCAGATGATAAGGCTCCAAACTGTGGGGGAAGTTGGCAAATCATGGGAGTCATGGGTAAAGACGATCTAAAAGAGACCAGTTTTGAAGTGAATGTAGCTATGTTCTTTTTCTTATAACTGAATCCCAAACTTGGCAACTTGCGTATGGTTTGCTCCTCATGGAATTTTTTTGAACAAGACCAAAGGACTGATTTGATGCCATCCCTTAGGACTAACAGTAAATACATGAATTGACTGAATATGATTGTTTGTCGGGGGCAATGTGTACCAGAAGACGATTAGGAGCAGCAACAAAGTATTCCCTCGGTGCCAGAAGCCCTGGGAAAGTGCGCCTAACATGAAGACTTGTGTCAGTGCCAAGACGGGCAGGTGCCCGTGAGCCATCAGAATGCAGATATTGAAACTAGGACAAGGACGTGAGAGAGGGAAGATAATCTTAATGCAGAACGCGGCTTTTTGGTAATGTAGCAAAGCAAGTTTAATCAGTAAACACGGCTGTATTCTTACATAATAAGGGTCCGGTATGTAAGAGAGGACGAAATATGAAATAAATAATCTTGCTTCACCATACGCAAGGTTCGTGTCTTCATCCCCACAATTGTTCACTATATTTCACTTATGCATCCTCTACTAAAGCATGCAATGATCTAATTTGCATCTGTCGTGAATGAACTCCAGGAATATCTGAATGAGGCACCCTATTAATATTATATGTTGTCATTTACAACCAGCAATCTATTTTGAAAATTTGAGGCAAAATCCATTTTCCTTTGCATCTGCAACCAAATGTTTCAGGTGATTTGTGAATGGATTGCATTTTATGGAGATAATGTATCTGTGCTCTTTTGACACCTGAAGTATGCAGCATGACAGCGCACCCTCGAATTAAGTCCTGGGGAAAACATCAGTAAACATGATACCATTGGTAACATAAACGTATGGCAGGTCTCACTTTTTTATTGCCCTTACGGTGAAAACAACAATAAGGATTTGGCATAAAAGCTTGTTTCTCATTTGTGTGCTGCTAAATGAGTCTAGAAATGAAATATTCACTGATAGATGATGTAATGAGCAAGGCATTAATGGTTGAAAGGGTGGTTCTATTAAAGAAAATAATAGCAGATTTAGTCTGTTATGTTGTGGTAATCTGGCTCATGAGGGAAAATATTTAGGAAAATTATTTTAGAAACCTCTATGAACTATTTGATGGAGGAAGAAAAACAGATGTCCTCAGAACAGAGACTGGCCATCTCATATTGCTGCTAAATTAGCTTTTGTACATCTTACAGACAGTCCTACTTACTTTAAAGACATAGCCCAAAATATTGGGATGAAGTTTCAAATGGAATTCAGCTTCCACTCCACTGTCCTACTAGAATACTTCTACTGCTAACTCTTTGGAGTTTCAAAGACCAACTTCTGTCCACTGAAGGCACCCAGACTGTACCCGACATATCCTTGGTCTTGCTTTAAGTCCTAAAAAACATGGAATCAGGGGAATCTCAGATTTCTACAGAACTGGGAATCAGGAATCTGATATATGCATGCCTGCATATATCAAGATGAATGCATATCTCAGATATGATGCAGATCAAGAAAACATTTTCTGTGGACATAAATCTTTTCTACTTTAAAAGTAAATTATCAGAGAGTCTTCCTTGGATGTAAAGAGTCCATCTCCAGCAGACTCATGACAAGTGTTGTTTGATGTAGAACCTTTTGGAGTCTGCTTGAGAGTATAGAGATTTGCAGTAGAAATACTAAAATTTGTGTGAACAAATTATGAATGTACATGTGTAAAACCACAAGAATACACTGGAGAAAAAGGGTTAGATGAATGGCATGTGTTGATGGCACCTAGAAAAGCAGATCATCAAGATCAAAGCACATGGTAGAAGCATTTCTCATGATCAGGAAAACAAAGGACTGATTGAAGCCATTAAGAGAAGATGGCAAGAAGATAAAGAGAAGAGCTAAAGTCATAGGCCACCCAAATAAAGGAGACAAAAAAATGAGTAAATCAGCAAAGTTGCACAAGGATTCGTGAGAGGTGTGATAGGGTGAAGAGGCAAAAGGTCTAATACTGTCAAATCCCAAAGGGTATGTACCAAAGGCATGTTTGAAAATCACTTCCTTGTTATCAGTCACAAGAAACTAGGAGACATGACAAAGACTTGAGAGTGGCCATGCCTTTCCTTTTGGGTCACACACAAGAAACTTTTGCCAGACTAATTGGATACCCACATTTTGTGTCTTGTGAGTATGAAAAATTGAGTATGAAAGGATGAACTGAGTGAAATCAGTTTGTTTAAAGTAAAAACAATCTTTACCTGCTCTACTGTCTCACACTGAATTTGCTACAGAAAAAATTAGGACATTGACAAGCTGGTTGGCTAGTCTGTCAGTCTCCCCTGACAGATGTGTGGCTCTCATATGGGCATGCCAGTCTCGTGAAGGTATGGTTTCACGGCATAGAATGCCTGACCTTCATCCAGCTATGTTTTGTTTAATATGTTGCTATGGAACTGTCTGCTACTTGAATTGCAGTTCTTCTCAGGAATGGATGAATAGACTTCCACGCTATACATGTCCTCAGCTTCAAGGATGTGCCTGCATTCTTGATTATGGAAGTGATACATGCCTGAGGGTTATTTAGATAATCTTCCTCTTTGACATCACAGTCTCCTCCCATCCCCTTTATTTTTATATAGTATCGGATTCTATCTGGTAGGAAGAGATAAAAAGAATAATAGTTCATGACTTGTATTAAGCGGATTTGCCCATAATGTGAGTAGCTCTAAATATCTGACCAAGAATTATTAATTCGAGATTCATGGTGAGAAAGCTTAAATGATGGACTGATTTGAATCATTCCTGAAGTGATCCCAGAGGAAATAATGCAAATATTTTGACTCAGTTCACTTGAAATTCATATTATTTGATGGTCAGAGATGGATCCACAGCCATGAATCTAATTAACAGATGGTATGAAATATGCTGATTGTTGGCTAAAAGTTTACCAGTTAAACAGTCACATTGCAGTTGGGAATATCATATGCTTGTGCAGCAGAAACAAACAGAACAAAAGGTTAACACTCTTTTGTTGGTAATGTCTGCTTTTAAGACATTAAAATACTTTTTTCTTTTCTAAAAAAGAAAAACTTTCAGCAGTTTCCTGTGGATTCTTGGACATGGAGTGAGATCTGTCGCAGCTTAAGAAAGACATCCTACACAAGCCAGGTTCTCCTAGATACAGATAAAAATTTTTTACTTAAGATTCAAAGCACAATGTGTGAATAAAGAACCACAAATGGCAAGCAAAACATAAAAATCACACGTAACAGTGGTAGAAAGCCTCTAACTGAATAAAATGGAAAGAAAACAAATATCTGAATGCAACACTTAAAATTGTGCCTCTAAGATTATTAACATACCTTGAAGATGGGATCCTTTCCAACCTGAATTATTCTATGGTTCTGTGACGGCAAGTCAGCTTACCAGGGAAGAAATTCCACTGGATATACTTAAATTGCAAAACTAAATTGTAAATACAAACTTGAGGCATCTGCAGATGCCCCCAAAACCTTTGGAAGAACAGAATTTAGTGAAAGAGGAATATCATCCCAAGGCAGAGGACTTTTCATCTGCTTATTACTAACACAAAATTATCTGTATCTGTATAATGCAAGTGTATACTATCAATAGCAAGTTAACATAATCTGTGTAAGGCAAACAAACTTGCTGATTTTTTTTTTTTACACTCAAGCTATTTTTTGACTCTTGCTCTCAGGAAAATCCCAGCTCATTTCTCAGTTTTCATTTTTCTCACTTTCCGTTTCTTCTGGTCCTATTTCCAAATAGCCCAATTAAAGGCAAACTACAGCTATACAATCTATAACTGTTACTCGTGTTTTGCTGAACTTCTTTGAACATTAGAAACAGCTCTATGTATTATCTAATATGTACTGATACATCTAAGATATATTTATATCTATATGTAGATAGTATATATAGCTAGGATACAGATATTAGAGATATCAAATGTACTAATGCCTATGAAATAAGTTGAGGTCATTTGTTACATAGGCTAATTATGCTACAAGTCACAAGTATAGGAACACAGAGCTTTGACTTGAGGGGAACAAAGTGAATTATACATGAGAGATCATGTCTTGGGAAACATCTTTCAAAGCAAATCCTCAGACATACACTTCTCTCTCCTAAACCTACCTTGATTTATGTATCATTTGTAATCTATACTGTGTAGCTTATAGGGCACTTTATTTTATGAGTTAACAGTAGAATCCTATCCTCTCCCATCAACCCCATTGTTATCAAATCCTGATCTTGCAAATATTTTCTAAATATTAGGTGTCAGCACAAGCCAGCTTCATTAATTGTTTTATAAGATCACTCAGCACAAAAACATCCTTATCACCTCGTAGTTGCACACTTCAGCCTAATACATGAGTGTCTGGCAAGGTTAGTGCTTTTTCACCCTGCTAGCAAGAACACAGGCTCTCCTCTGAGAGTGACATCCTGTACCTCTGTCTCCCCTTCAGACTAATGCAGCTTTCATATCGACATATCTTCTTGGAATCTAACTATTTTCAACTTGCAAAACTAAAAGTTTGAAGATAGGCAACAAATATATATGTTGCAGAAGAGAAGCCATCACATCTCCGGAATACAGTCCTACATTTATAGATGTGTTAATAGAAAATAACTGGATAAATTCACAGTTATTTTTTGTGCCCCCTTTTCAAAGGAAAACAATTGTAGAGTCTTGCACTGCTGCTGAATCTTGAAGACTTGATTTTGTGAATCAGTCATCAAGATGGGAGTAACTCCAAGGAACAGTCTATCTATAATGTGGGCTGATCTGATATCTTGACAACTTGGGTTTACGGGTAAATGTAAGATCTCGGTATTGCTACTTCAATTCATTTTCTGGATACAGCAGTTGTATAATTATAATATGATAAAGAAAGACACAAGGAAAAGTAATAATTGCAGCAACTTACGCTATAAAGATGCAATAAGGCAGTCTGAAGTAATGTTTGGGTTAAGTTCATACTCTATTCTTTCAAGAAGAGCATGAAGGCCTGGAAAGCGTTTTCACAACACTCAGAGCTCATGGCTAGTGAAACCGCAGGCACTCCTATGTTCAAGGTGTCTGGGCTCTATCAGTGAGTTAAATATACATGACAACTCTACTAGCGAACCCTTTGGTGGGGAGCCAACCGTTAATCTGAGCTTGAAAATAAATTAAAAAGAGTTGGAGATATCCTATTCACTCCTGTTATTCTCTGGAGCAGCTTTATGAGTGGTTCAAATTAAGCTGAAACTGTGCTGTTGCCGACAGGTCTTACCTTCTTTTGCTCTTTGATTTGCACTCCTACTGATTATCCTGTGTGGGCTCTATTTGTGTGGTGAGTTGGAGCAGCTTTTCCATTGAAAAACGGACATATACAAAGGAAAAATAATAAATTTTCCATTTGGAACAGTGTACTGGGTCGGGGGGGGGGGGAGAAGAGAAATGGTGGGACTGCCCCTTTTGTCAACAGCTCTGCATCTGATTCATGTAATTACAAAGTTGCGTCAATGAAGATTTTAGGGTCAACATTTCAGATAAATCTA